GCGGGGGTTGGGGAGGTGGCTGTGGATGACCACAAACTATTGGATCCAGGCTGAACCATACCCCCTATCCTGGGGGCATCCAGCTCTTGTGGACTGAGGGGCAGGAGGCTGCCAGGATATCAGAACAGGAGGGGACAGGGGAGTGGGAGGCAGAGAAGAGACTCCACACAGACAGACAGACGGACGGATGGATGGACAGGGGCCGGGAACGATGCATGAAACACACACGGTCCTCCCCACTCTGCAGGGCCCCCTGGGGACTCAGTGTAGCTGCACCTGCTCACTCAGTGGGTGCTTGGGGACAGCAGCAGCCCAGGGTGCTGGGTGCATAATTAACGAGCTGCCTAACGAGCAGAGGCAGAATCACCTCCCTATCAACTCACCCCCTCCCACCCCATTTGCTTCGTAGCCCCCCGCCAATGTACCCCACGCTCCCCAAGCAGCTCGGCACAGGCCTTCCTATCAGCTCCAGGCATGTGGTGCCCTCAGCTGTGCTTATCCATGTCCACACGATGTCCTGCAGTGCCCCTGGCTGGGAAAGGCTGATGGCCATGGGCCGGCATGTACAGGGAGTGAAGTTACGGGGGGGGGGGGGGCTCAGTCCTGCTCCTCTGTGACTCCCCATTGGTCTACAGGGTGCCTGAGGCGTGGCTGACGGACCCCCATGGCCCAAACTGCTCAGGGCTCCAGGGGCTGGCAGTGGAGTGGGCCGTGAGCATGTCTCCGTGGGCGAGCCAGCGAGGGAGATGGCTGGCAGAGGCCGGAGCCCCGCATGTTGTTCTAAGGGCTCAAGGGGCCCACACGAGCCGACCTCGGCTCTTCAGAAGGTCCCTGTGCCGGGCCCCCAGGCAGCGCCCAGCTGATGGGCACGAGTCTCCTCCTTGGGCTCTGCGGGAATGGCTGAGGGGGCGGGGGAAACAGGGAGCCAGCCCCTCTTCGCCCCTCAGGCACCAAAGGCTGGGCGCTGCAGGTGGGCGGGCTGCGGGGCAGGAGCCAGGAAGGCTCTTGTCTTGCGGGCGCAGGGTGAGCCCCTGAGGGGTTGGCTGAGCAGGGCACCACCTGGTCTTTGACTCCTGTTCCTGGGGCCACGGTGGGGGTCGCTGTTCACCTGAGTCTCTTGGGGGAGTTAAAGCAGTCGGCTGGGGTGACCACGTGGGGGGCTGTGGGAGACACCAAGGGCAGAAGTCCCGAGCAGAGTGAGGAGGCCAGGGCAGTGGGGGCTTGTCAGCCCCGGTGCTGAGTGGTCCCGGGCGCGCCCCGCGAAAGGCCCGGGGTGCGTGACTCACACAGGATGTTCATGGTAACACCAGCTACCAAAGGGGCCGACACAGCCTCATTTGTGGCTGCACAGACCAGACGCTTCCCGTTGTCCGAGCTCTGCGGAGTGACCCTGGGGGCAGAGGGGGACGGGTTGAGTCATCTAGCGCTTGCAAGGGGGTCCAGGTGGGGAGCCCCTCCTGCCCAGCCTCCCCTCCCCCCCCAACACAGACCCACAGGCCCTTCCCCCACAGCTCACCCCCCAGCACAGACCCCTGGGCCCCTCCAGCCCATCCTCAGGCCCAGGCCCATGGGACCTTCCTCCCCAGCGCAGCCCATCCCCTGGACCCTCTCACCTGAGCACGGCCTCGGTGCTGGAGAGTTTCTCGTTGGACCCGGAGTTCACCTGGAGCGACACCTCAGGGAGGGGGGAGCCACCTGGGGGTGGGAGGGGCTATGAGGGGAATGAGGTTCTTTGCACAGCCCCCCCAGCCAATGCAGCATCCCTGAGGACACCCCACGGCCCTGTTCTGGCATCTCCACAGCCCTGCCCCCCCAGTACAGACCTATGGGCTCCTCCAGCCCAGCTCCACCCCCAACACAGATCCATGGGCGCCTCCAGCCTAGTCCACCTTGCCAGATCAGACTCGGGGCCCCTTCTGCCCAGGCCCCCCTCAGGCCCCCGGCCGCACCCTTGTTGAAGGAGATCTCTACACCCCACGGCCCTGTTCTGGCATCTCCACAGCCCTGCCCCCCCAGTACAGACCTATGGGCTCCTCCAGCCCAGCTCCACCCCCAACACAGATCCATGGGCGCCTCCAGCCTAGTCCACCTTGCCAGATCAGACTCGGGGCCCCTTCTGCCCAGGCCCCCCTCAGGCCCCCGGCCGCACCCTTGTTGAAGGAGATCTCTGCGGCGGGTTTGGCATCGCTGGCGCTGCAGGTTACGCTGTACTCCACGCCGGCCACCCAGGTCACGGTGCTGTCAGCCTCATACTCCTTCATGATGGGCAGCTTGGGGGGCACTGTGGGGGAGGGGAGACGAGGATTGGTCCTGAAGATTTGCTCCTCCCCCATCTCCCAGAGCCAAAGCCCCCCATGGCCCACAGCTCACCCAGCACGCTGAGCAGCGCCGTGCGCGACACAATGCCTGGGCTATCCTCGGAGCGCCCTGCCTGGCACTCATAACTCGCATCATCTGCCAGCCGGCTGCCCACGATCCGCAGATGGTGCTCCCCTGCCAGGCATGGCACAGAAAGGGTTGTGAATCTATACGTCCAGGACACCTAGGTTCTGTGCCCAGCTCTGCTCCCAACACCCCCCTGCTCTAACCACTAGACATCGCTCCCCTCCCAGAGCTGGGATAGAACCCAGAAGTCCTAGAACAAGGCCTGTCAGGGTTTCACACACAGCGGCTGTGTCTACACTGGCCGCCTATTACGGAATAGGGATGCAAATGTAGAACTTTGGAAGAAGCAAATGGGCGGGGGATTTAAATATCCCCCGCGGCATTTGCATTTTCATGGCCGCCGCTTTTTTCCGGCTTGAAGATAAGCCGGAGAAAAGCGTCCAGACTGGCGCAATCCTCCGGAATAAAGCCCTATTCCGGAGGATCTCTTATTCCAGTCTGGACTTAAGCTTTTCTCCGCTTATCTCCAAGCCGGAAAAAAGCGGCGGCCATGAAAATGCAAATGCCGCGGGGGATATTTAAATCCCCCGCCCATTTGCTTCTTCCAAAGTTCTACATTTGCATCCCTATTCCGTAATAGGGGCCAATGTAGACGTAGCCAGCTGGTTCACAGCTGCCAGAGCTGGGCTGGACGTGGGAGGGACAGAGGGCTCCAGCCAGCCCACCCTCAGCTGCATCTGGCTGCCTGGAGACCCACTCACCTTTGCTGGGGTCTCCTGTCATGCTGTAGCGGGGGAATCCGGGGATGCTTCGGTCCGGTCCGAGCAGTAACCCGTCCTTCACCCACTGGACCACGCCTGAGGGATTGTCCACCATGCACTGCAAGACAGCCGCAGCCCCTTCCAGGACTGTGATGTTATCCGGCTCCACCCTGAAAGCCTGCTGCAGACTGGCCCCTGGCGGAGGAAACAGGAGGAACTTCATTAACCTCTAGTTTTTAAAAAAGATTTCACATCAGAATCGAGTATTCGTCAGCTGTGCCGAGTCCTGCCCTTGGGATGGAAGAATCCCAAGCATTGTTACAGGCTGGGGGCCGACTCGCTACAGCAGTTCGACAGAAAAGGGCCTGGGGATGACAGTGGATGAGGAGCTGGATATGAGTCAATAGGGTGCCCTTGTAGCCAAGAAGGCAAATGGCATATTAGGTGCATTAGGAGGCGCATTGCCAGCAGATCCAGAGATGTCATTATTCCCCTTTATTCGGCTCTGGTGAGGCCACATCTGGAGTATTGCGTCCAGTTTTGGGCCCCCCACTATAGAAAGGATGCGGACGCATTGGAGAGGGTCCAGCGGAGGGCAACCAAAATGATGAGGGGGCTGGAGCACATGACCTATGAGGAGAGGCTGTGGGGTTTGGGCTTGTTTAGTCTGCAGAAGCTAAGAGTGAGGGGGGATTTGAGAGCAGCCTGCAACTTCCTGAAGGGAGGTTCCAAAGAGGATGGAGAGAGGCTGTTCTCTGTGGTGGTAGTTGGCAGAACAAGGAGCAATGGGCTCAAGTTACAGTGGGGGAGGCTTAGGTTGGATATTAGGAAAAATTGTTTTCCTAGGAGGGTGGGGAAGCGCTGGGATGGGTTCCGTAGGGAGTCCATCTCCATCCCTAGAGGTTTTTAAAGCTTGACCAAGCCCTGGCTGGGGTGATGGAGTTGGGGTGGGTCCTGCTGTGGGCAGGGGGCTGGACTCGATGACTCCTGAGGTCTCTTCCAGCCTGAGGATTCTATGATTCTATGCGAGGAAATCCCACAGAATCCTACGCCATGGCCCATCTATCCCCCAGCTTCAGAAAGCTGCAACGCCGAAGCACCGCGCGACTTGAAATCCCTTGTTCCATTTTCATCCAACCTGGCTTATTGTTAGATGTTCCTGTGAGCTCCAAAACTAGCCACGTTTGAAGGAAATGGACCCAGCTGTTCTCAGTTGATTTACATGCAACATTTCTGATGGGACCGTTGGAGAAAACAGAGCTTGAAACGACCATCACGTTAAACCCTCTGATGCCATTTTTCATCCTGCTTGTCTTGTTTAGATGCCAGTGAGATCTCCACAGCCAGCCAGGTGTGAAGGAAATGGGCAGGTGTTCTGGACTGGCAGCCGGGCAAAAACCCAACATTGATGCTTTCACTGCTTGGACTGTAACCCAGAAGAGCTCAGATGGTTTTGAATGCAATTTCCAAAATGGCGCCCTCTAGTGCAAGGCCCCTGTTGGAAACCATGCCTGGCAGGCCGTTGGGGGAGGCTGCGGGGAATGGGGGTGGGCAGGCTGGGGACGCTGGGCCCGTGTCGCGCCGGGGATGCTCGGCTGCAGCGAACGTCGGCAGAACTGCTCTCACCTCCTGTGCAGGCACCGAGGAGCAGGCAGGGGAGCAATTTCCAAAATGGCGCCCTCTAGTGCAAGGCCCCTGTTGGAAACCATGCCTGGCAGGCCGTTGGGGGAGGCTGCGGGGAATGGGGGTGGGCAGGCTGGGGACGCTGGGCCCGTGTCGCGCCGGGGATGCTCGGCTGCAGCGAACGTCGGCAGAACTGCTCTCACCTCCTGTGCAGGCACCGAGGAGCAGGCAGGGGAAGG